AGGCAAAAAAAGGTACGGACAGCCGAAAAAGCCTTCTGTGGGGCATGGGGAGGGGGGGGATATGGACGTAGCTAACATTTGAGGCAATCTCTTCTTAGGTCTTGATTTTTTCCCCCCAATTTTTTTTTCCGGCCTGCCCAAAAACTTTTCCCCCTTGCGTCTAGCGTCTACGGGTGCATCCTGCGTCTAGCGTCTAGACGCTGTGTCTAGACGCTAGACGCAGGACGGTCCTGGCGTCTTCCGCAACTTAGACTCGCACCCCATCTTATAAACAGCCTCTGGTCAACCCTCCCTCTTCGCTGCAGTGCATACTGATGTTGCGAAACCCTTAATGTGCATGGTGCATGCATGGTGCATGGATGGTGCATGGATGGTGCATCATGGATGGTGCATCATGGATGGTGCATGGATGGTGCATCATGGATGGTGCATGGATGGTGCATGGATGGTGTATGCATGGTGCATGGATGGTGCATGGATGGTGCATGCATGGTGCATGGATGGTGCATGCATGGTGCATGCATGGTGCATGCATTGTGCATGCATGGTGCATGCATGGTGCATGGATGGTGTATGCAGGAGTTTGATGGGAACCACTCTAGTCGTATCACTACCGGAGCAGCTCTCCCAGCTGCAGAAGCTGCAGTCTCTGTAAGGCCGGGTGAGGGGCATGTGATGGCATGTGATGGCATGGGATGGCATGGGATGGCATGGGATGGCATGGGATGGCATGGGATGGCATGGGATGGCATGGGATGGCATGTGATGGCATGTGATGGCATGTGATGGCATGTGATGGCATGGGATGGCATGGGAAGGCATGGGATGGCATGGGATGGCATGGGATGGCATGGGATGGCATGTGATGGCATGTGATGGCATGTGATGGCATGGGATGGCATGGGATGGCATGGGATGGCATGGGATGGCATGGGATGGCATGGGATGGCATGGGATGGCATGGGATGGCATGGGATGGCATATTGTGGCATGTGATAGAACACGGATGCTCTAAGCTATGCTCCCTTATTTTGCCATGCTGCCTCCTTTTGCCATGCTGCCTCCTTTCGCCATGCTGCCTCCTTTCGCCATGCTGCCTCCTTTCGCCATGCTGCCTCCTTGTGCCATGCTCCCTCACTTCTGTTGTTCTCCTCGCTCTTCATGTTCACCTTGCCCATCCTCGGGTTCGACATCTACCCTTCCCGCCAACTTCCCTGCTCCGTGCTCTTCCCTTCCCTGTCCCTTGCTCTTCTCTGCTCTGTGCATTTCTCTGCTCCTTGCTCCTCCCTGCTCCGTGCTCTTCCCTTCTCCTCGCCTCTTGAATGCTCCTTGCCTTCTGCTCCGTGCCTCTCAACTGCGCGCATCATTAGACGCTTGGATGCTCAGCGTCGACTGTCGGGGGAGCTGCCTGCGTGGATCTTCAGCCTCACAGACTTGACTTCACTGTGCATGCTGCCATGCACCATCTGCCATGCACCACCAAGCCATGCACCATTCACCACCCTATATCACTTCCCATGCACATCGTACCCTTATGACCGTTTTCTTTATCTCAACTTCCTTTCCATACTAATTCGCTTGAGGATGCTTTGATACCAACCAGAGATGGCATTTTCCATAACACGACTCTGCACTGCCTCCTCTCCATTCATGCACTGCATCCCCCCTTCCATTTCACCTCTCTTCCCCGTACCTTCTCTTCCGACCTTCCCCATCCATTGATTCCTCTCCCCTCTCTACACTTCCCTCTGGTTTCCGCCCAACCCTCTCCATCCACCAGGGATATCAAGGGCAACAACTTCACAGGCTCCATTCCAGAGGCAATCAGCAGCCTCAAGCAGTTGCGGAAGCTGTGAGTGGTGGTGGGTTAGGCATGCAAGGTGCTGTGGGGTGATCAGGTGTGATAGGTCAGTGAGTGCTTGTGAGTAATTGAGAAGAATGAGTGCAAAATGATGGCGCTGCAGGGTGAATGAGGCCATGTGTTGCCATCAGCAAAAGTGCACAAAGCACTGCAGACACATGCACTGCAATGCTTTATCAACCTTCCCACACCCGACCTCCACCGCTCCCCTCCGCCACTCCTCTCTGTGCTTCATCCCCCTTTGTCTCCTCGCCTTCTTTCTGCTCCAAAGAAAACACTGTAACCCCACTGGATCTCTCTGCACCACACTTCACCGCACTGTGCCGCACATGATCGCAGACGCATCATGGAGCCAATGCTGTCAGGGTCCATCCCCAAGTCGATAGGAGCGCTCACCAACCTGCAAGATCTGTAAGGAAGAGGGATACCCGCATTGCAAGCCGTGAGACTGGTACTTGGCGCTTGCTCTAGTCCTTTCCAAAAAGCCTCTTGTGCCTTTGCATGCAAAACCCGAAACCCTTTTCCAATGTCTCTTATTCTTTTAGAAACGATTCTAAAAGCGATGGCACGGCATATAATCTTCTCTTCTCGGTTGGGCAAAGGATTTTCAGTTTCCCAACAAGTTTACTAGTGCAAAAGATGTTAACGCATAGAATCTTCGAATCTCAGTTTGCTTGCATCAAACCCAACCCAACCGAACTCCTCGCCTCAAATATCTACCTTTGCCTCAAACATCTTCCACTTCACATCACGCTTGTGCTTTCTGTAGTTTCTTCCTTGCTTGTGTTTGTGCAACGTTTTGTTTCTTGTTTGCTTTTATATACACGTATATATTTATACATATAATGTATATACGTATATTATCTGGCTTGTGGGACCCTCCAGTGCCTCTGGTCACTTCTCTTGACTCTAGTACTACTCAGTGCTCTAAGAACCCTAGACCAGCAGCACTGGCATGCGTTCTTACACATACTATGGGTGCTTCGTTCCCATCCTGTGCCATTTCGTGCCATCCCATGCCATGACATCACGTGACAGGGACTTGCAAGACTGCAGCAGCCTGGGTGGCACCATTCCCGCCTCCATTGGCAACCTCACCGCACTCACCTCCCTGTGCGCCCATTTTCTCTCCGCACGAACCTTCCCTTCTCTCTAATATCTGCATAATCTGCCAATGAAAAGTATCCCTGCACTGCACCCATGCATGCTGCATCCTCTCCGCTGCAGCCTTCCACCTTCCAACCGCTCCCTGCGGCTTAGTCATGATTTTCCTTTCTCTCTTTAACCTACAATGCCCCCTCTTCCCCTTTCTACGCTTCCCCCAACCATGGAGTCTGGCGTCTGATCTATTTAATGTAGAAGCAAAAAAAACTGTAAGAAAGAAGCTCCAATGGCACATCAGCCACACAGCAGCAAGCTTGAGAGAAAAAGAGGTGCTCAGAGTTAACAAATAGCAGCTTTGAGCTGTCAGGGATAGTAAAACGAAATATATGTATACATATGTATATATGCATATATATAGATGCTTATACGAATTGAGAGAAATAGTGTGAGTGTTGCTACAAGGGCGAACGGGTGGGGGGCGCAAGTGGCAAGGGAGCTGGTTTGAGTTGCCATAGGTGAGACGTTACTTTAGGCTGGGTGGAAGGGGAGTTGGTTGGATGTGTTGCTGCGAGAGGTGAGAAGGGGGGGCTTTGTGGGCTGTGAGAGGCAAGGAGGAGCTGGGTGGGGCTTGCGAGTGGCGGGAATAGGAGTTGCGTATGATATAAGTGGCGAGAGGAGGAGTTGGTTGAGAAGGCCGAGGGGGAGGACTGGGGAGAGTTCAGCTGTGAGATTTGAGAGAAAAAGGGGAAGGGTTGGGCTGTGAGAGCGGATGGAATTGGAGGGTGGGGTGGGGAAGAGAACCTCGGGTTGGGTTGTCGGTTGGTTAATTTGATGGGAAGGTGATTCAGTCCACTCATAATCAGGCTTCAACTTGTATGCACTCTGAATCCATCAGACTTCACTAATCAGGAATTCTAAAAAGCCATGGTTGGAGGTCGATCGCAGACTAATCAGACTAAATACCCTGAAATATTCAACCCTACTCTCCACCTTGTCCTTTCCGCCCTCTTCCCAACCTCTCCATGCCCCAGGAGTCTTCGTGAATGCTTTCTCTCAGGCTCCATTCCAGAGGCAATCAGCAGCCTCGGGCAGCTACAAAACTTGTGAGTGCTGATGCAAGGTGCTGTGGAGTGGAGTGGAGTGGAGTAGAGTGATTCAATGTGATAGATAGCCCGCTAGGCTCGTGCTGATGGAGTAAACGGGTGGGGGAAAGTAAGAGGCTGAGACAGGGGATGGGTGGAACCATCTGGAAAGGAGCTTGAGCTAGATAGAATCGAGTAGAGTAGGTTTACCGGGTTGGAGTCTGAATTGAAGTAGGCTGTGGAGCTCAAGGCTCGAGGCTCTCAGCTTGAGATAGAGTTGGTTTACCAATTCTTGGGCTCCAGACTCATCTAGGTAGATCGCAAATGAGTTGGGAAGGATGGGACAGGATTGGAATTCGATGACACTATGAAATAAGGTTGGTTGAAACCTCTGATTGGATGGTTGAGTTGAGTTGAGTGCGTAAACAAGGGACCCAGGGGGCAAATGAGTGGATTATTGAGTGCGGGAGCGCGCGGAATAAACTTTGTCGGAGACTCAAAGGCTAGTTTGATTCAAGACTCAAAGGCTAGTCTCTTGATCAATCTCTTGATTCCATCCAGTACCTTGAATGCACCACAGCCACCACATCTAGTGTAAGCACCTGAGCCTACTGTACCTTGTACCATGCCATCCCACCCACCCCATGCCATCCCACCCACCCCATGCCATCCCACGCACCCCATGCCATCCCACCCACCCCATGCCGTGGCAGGGACCTCCAAAACAGCATGCTGAATGGCACCATTCCCGCCGGCATTGGCCACCTCACCGCACTTTACACCCTGTGCGTGCGCCCATCTTTCCTTCGCCCTAAGCCTCCCCTCTCTGCGCTGCCATGCCACCAGGAATCTATCGTACGAGCACAGACAAGCTGTCTATTCCATTCAGAGAAAGTACCCCCCCCCCCCACACTCATCATGCCACAGAAACCTTAAATACAACTTTCTCTCAGGCTCCATTCCAGAGGCAATCAGCAACCTCAAGCAGCTGGGGGAGTTGTGAGTGGTGATGGGGTAGGCATGCAAGGTGCTGTGGGGTGATCAGGCGTGGTAGCCTTCAGTGAGTGAGCGGGAAGGAGAGTGAAAGGCCGAGGGGAAATAGAGTGGGAGAGAGTGTGAGTGAGTGCGTGGGTGAGGGGGTGAGAGGGTGAGCTATGAGTTATTTCCCTGGCCGTCCATCCCACCCCATCCCATCCCATCCCATCCCATCCCATCCCATCCCATCCCATCCCATCCCATCCCATCCCATCCCATCCCATCCCATCCCATCCCATGCCATGCCATGCCATGGCAGGGAGCTGAGTGGCAGGGAGCTGAGTGGCAGGGAGCTCAGGGAACTGAAGGACAACAGCCTGAGTGGCACCATTCCCGCCTGCATTGCCCACCTCACCGCACTCATCACCCTGTACGCCCATTCTCCCTCCACTCTCTTCACCTGCCTCTCTTTGCCAAGCATGGGGAATTTGAGAGGGTGGGTGGGATGAGAATCGGGATTGGGGGGATGGTGGGAGAAGAAGGCAATGAATAGGAGAGTACTCACCTTTCACCAACAGCACTCACACGCTTCCACAGTTGCATCTCTGCCTTCTCCTTTCCTCCTCACTTCTCCTCTTCTACTTTTCTCCTTCTCTCTTCTCCTCTTCTCTTCTCCTCCTCCTATTCTCTTCTTCTCCTCCTCTCTTTTCTGCTGTCCTCCTTTCTCTTCTTCTCCTCGCCACCTCTCTCTTCTAATCTTCTGCCCCTTCTCCACTTCTCCCCATACCCTACTCTTCTCTCCGTCCCTCCATGACCCATCATTCACCCGTCTTCAGTAGTCTTGACAACAACCGCCTTGCAGGGTCGATACCTGCTGCAATCACCACGCTCACCAATCTTGTATACCTGTCAGTCAGTGTTACCTCTTAAGTTGTCACCACACTCAAAACGTCATCTCTGTGTGTCGATGTAAACAATTACGTCCTTTTAAACATTTCAGGGTTACCTGCTGAGTCGACTTGAAAGACATGCTTTGCCAGGTCACCTCTTGTACAGGGTTTTCAAAAGCAACCATCTGTAGTCAATTGTCACCCTGTGCACTCATCTCATCTCCAACAACTGTCAGCGTTACCCATCTCTTCTCCTCTCAATGAAACACCACCCACAGATCTCTTACTTTCTGCAACCCACACATCCCTTCCATGCCATCCCATGCCATCCCATGCCATCCCATGCCATCCCATGCCATCCCATGCCATCCCATGCCATCCCATGCCATCCCATGCCATCCCATGCCATCCCATGCCATCCCATGCCATCCCATGCCATCCCAAGCCATCCCATGCCATCCCATGCCATCCCATGCCATCCCATGCCATCCCAAGCCATCCCATGCCATCCCAAGCCATCCCATGCCATCCCATGCCATCCCATGCCATCCCATGCCATCCCATGCCATCCCATGCCATCCCATGCCATCCCATGCCATCCCATGCCATCCCATGCCATCCCATGCCATCCCAAGCCATCCCATGCCATCCCAAGCCATCCCATGCCATCCCATGCCATCCCATGCCATCCCATGCCATTCCATTCCATGCCATCCCATGCCATCCCATGCCATCCCATGCCATCCCATGCCATCCCATGCCATCCCATGCCATCCCATGCCATCCCATGCCATCCCATGCCATCCCATGCCATCCCATGCCATCCCATGCCATCCCATGCCATCCCATGCCATCCCATGCCATCCCATGCCATTCCATTCCATGCCATCCCATCCAATGCCATCCCATCCAATCCCATCCCATCCCACCCATCCCATCCCATCCCATCCCATCCCATCCCATCCCATCCCATCCCATCCCATCCCATCCCATCCCATCCCATCCCACCCATCCCATCCCACCCATCCCATCCCATCCCATCCCATCCCATCCCATCCCATCCCATCCCATCCCATCCCATCCCATCCCATCCCATCCCATCCCATGCCATGGCATGGCAGGGACTTACGGAGCAACAATCTGAGTGGCACCATTCCCGCCTCCATTGCCCACCTCCAAGGACTCGGCTTCCTGTGCGCCCATTCTCCCTCCAACCCCCCCTCTCCATTCCTTCTTTCCACCTCGCTCTCTCTGCCAAGCATGGGGGGTTTGAGAGGGTGGGTAAGATGAGATGAGAGGACGCACGTTGTGTGGATGGCTAACCTTCCTGCTGATGTGGGTGTGTTTTTCTCAGAGCAAACTCCTTTCAGCTACAGCACTCACACTCTTCCACAGCGTCATCTCTGCCTTCTTCTCCTCTCCTCGTCGCTTTTCCTTCTACCTTCTTCACTCTCTACTCTCCCTCTCCTCCTCTCTCTTATCCTCTCCACCTCTCTCTTCTTCTACTTCCCTCCTCTGCCTCTTCTCCTCTTCCCCTCTTCCCCTCTGTTTCTTTCCTTCCCTCCATGTCCCATCATCCACCCCTCTCCAGAGGACTTGGCAACAATCGCCTTACAGGGACGATACCTGCTGCAATCACCACGCTCACTAAACTCGATTACCTGTCAGTGTTCCCTCCTCGTTCGTCACTACACACATGTCATCTCTGAGTGGTCGTGTGTACACCCCATGCACTCATCTCCAAACAAGAACCAGTGCTACCCATAACTCTTTGTGGCTTTTCTTCTCTGTGGAATAGCATCCCTACTGCCCGCATCACCTCGTTTTCTGCTACCCAGCCTCTTCTTGCTGGGGCCCGCACCTTCAGGGGTGCCAACCTCGTCAGCCTTTTGCAATGAATGCCCTCCACGCGCTTCCTCCCATGCTCGCTCCGCCGTGACACCACTCACTCTCCACTTCCCTCTTGTGTCAACACCTTTTCTGTGGATCCACCTTACTCATTGATTAATGATTTGGAATCACTTTCTGCTAAGCGCCCTTTCTAACCATTCTGTCTATGCCTAACAAGTGATGATAGACGAATCAAAGCCTAAGCACGTCAGCTGATTGCACCCAGTGTTGACAACACGGAAAGTGGGATCGACGGCTCAAAAGTCCCTCTCACACATCGTTGACAGAAACAACCGTCCCATTCATTACGCACATGCTACTCCTTTCTCATCACTCCCATTCCCCGCCACTACCTTCCCAATCTTCCCCTCCCGCCTTTGCTTTGGCATCACAGCAACTTAGAGGGCAACCAGTTGACGGGACCTCACCGCCTCGGAAAGCCTTCTCCCTCTCAACGCTACCAGCCTTGACGAAACTCTACAGCAGGACAGCTTGTGTATGTTCCTTTTCGACCATCAGCTCGTTCGAGCTACCTAAGAACTTGCATTTCATGTCCTCCAAAGTCGCCTGCTTGCCAATATGCCGGCTTTATCTGCATCAATACCCAGCAATCTTTCTCCAATGTGCTGCTTCTGTACATACCCTCGCTTCCTCCCTCTCCTCATCCACCATACAGGCACCAACCCACCCTGTGAATCACCAGGCCCTGCAGTCGTGGGAGTGGCGCTATCTGTTCTTCAGGCACCTCAAAACCTGCTGCTGCTGCTGATGCTTCCACTGGCGGTGCTGCTGCTGCTGGCCTTCACACTGCCGCAGCTTATGAGGCGCCTTAAAAATCGGCCCCACACACGATACTTCTTTTCAAAGAGAGCCCTTGCTGCCCGGCAAGCTGCCATGGGTGTGGAGATTAATTGCTAGTGACCCACTTGTTACGCGGTAATGGCGTGATATCATGAAAACGGCAGCGTTGTTCTTAAATTGTATACTAGATGACATGCTCTACTGTGGTTGTTTACGAGCGTAACATAACAGAAAGCGTGGCTTGCTCCATACATCAATCCCATGATGCCATGATCACACACAGCCAACTGCTCGTAGCTATTGATACTTGTTGCAATCCTAAAAGGGACTTTGCCCAGGATCGGCTCAGGGTTGTGTCAAAGCATATGCTTGTTATACATGTGTAGGCTGTAGTGGGGTAGCCAATATGGGGTACAGCCCCTTTTAGGGTTTCATACTTGTACCCAACTCTCTCATAGTTCATTCATTCCTGTCTCTTGATTCTGACAGGTTGATCGCAGGTGCTATTGCAGCGGAAGTAGTGACCTCAGGTCAGTGTGAAATGGAAAATGACTGAAGTGTAGCAAAGACATACATTGGTTTATATAGGAAATAGAAGGATTACGAAAAGCTTTTGCTACCCATGTACTCTAAGGGTACATTCCCTTATTCCAATGAGGTTTATAAACAGTGTAGCGAGCGAACCCGTTTCAAACCTGTTCCCGCCAATTCCACTTCAAATGTTTATGCCTGCAACAGTCTTGATATGACGGTTGGTGATGTTGCTTTGACTCTTCTGACTCCTCGACTTCGTACTCGGTAGAGTTGGCTCCCGCAGCATACATGAATGCCTTCTCAATTAAGTTCATATCTCAACACCCCCCTTCATTCTTGGACGTGTTGGAGGCTGACTCGCTTGACTACTCTGATGGGGTTGGAGCAGTTTTGGTACCGGATATAAGCGCATGCCTATGTTAAGCGCATGCGCTTCTATCTAGAGCAATACGCTTATGGCCGATCCTCATTTATAACACACCCGTTTCACTTTATTATTATTATATAATTTAATTCAGGACAAGACACTAAAGCCCCTCCACGGTTATTAACCTTACATCACTAGTTTTTCATTAACCTAACAAACGTTTACAAGTTTTTCCACTAGCCATCAGAAAGTCAAGCCTTAACAAAACATCTCTACCTAGGATTTACACCACTACCGAGCCTAGCATAGGGGAGGTCGTCCTCCTAGTCGAAATCGTGCTCCCGGCAGTTGTTGCCCCATAAGCCATCGGCGGCGATCTCATCGTCCATGTCGACTTCCTGCGTCAGCTGGCTCCTCCTGTGCGCCATGGCCAGCTTGTCCTCGCTCCCGTCAAGCGCGTTGCTGATGCCGCACGTGAGGAATGCCTTCTTGATGAGGTCAGCGGGCACTGCCTTCCAGGCCCGGAAAATCCACCTGAGGACCACCTCAGGTGGCGGCTTCCTGATGTTGCCTACATCACATGAAAGAGAAGGGGGGAGCCATTACATTGGTAGAGGGGGGGAACCAACGCACTCGCGCATGTATAGAAACCGGTTCTCTCACCTGTTGATGTCAGCGTGCCGATGCCGTCCTGCTCGAACCAGATCCACGTAAGCCTTTACCCCCCCTCTCACCTTTCACTTCTTTCTCTTTCTTCTCACACCTCCTTTCTGCTTTCTAGTTTGTCCATCCCTTTTCTAGTTTGTCCCTAACATTGGTCTTACTCATTGTGCTTTCAGACGCATCATTGTAGCTTGTCTGTTGTAGGGGGGTGATTGTTGTAATACAGCTGTATAATGGTGATTCATATGAATTCCAGAATCATGTTCGAAAACTAGTTCTGGGTAGTGTCACCACTGTAAGGAGTAAAGCTATAACTGCTTGTACTGCTTCCTGCAAAAGCTCTCTCTCCCTGTTCTTTCTGTTCTAATCTCCTCCGACCCTCACTCTCCCTCCTGCCATTGCCTTCTTCCCCTGCTTTTCTCTCCGGTTGCTCGTTGTTTCAAACCCGTATCATCCTTCCCGTTTTCTTTCTTGCTATCCGCTCCCCCCCCTACCAACTTCAGTAGCCTCAGCCACAACCGATTCAACGGCTCCATTCCAGAGACGCTGGGCAATCTACACAACTTGACTTGCCTGTGCGTGAGCTGAGGGGGGTCTGTGATGTGACGGAGTGCAGAAAGGTGGGGTCACAAGAACTGTTGTTTTGTTCAGTGAGCGAGAGAGAGGGGCCTAATGGAGTGCAAGGGGCTATCCTAGAAAAATCTGTAAGGGGTGAACTACAGCTGTGCCGCATTGAGAGGCTGGCGTGGTGATGGGGGGCCTTGATTTGATCATCCACCTCAATATCCCTATCCTCCGCTCCTCTCCTGTTCTTTCTTTCGCCTCACGTGCTTGCTCCCTTTCTTCCTTTGCTCTACTACATCAAACATTTGCCGCTCCTTCACTCCTTCAATGTTCTCTTGTTGCGTCCCATATGCCTTGCTCCAACCCACAATCTTGTTTACCCCCAACATCTCAGAGCTCTCGATTACAACCTGCTCTCAGGATATATCCCCAAATCAATCGGAGAATTGACCAGCCTAAGATCATTGTAAGAAGGCAGGCTGCAATGCTGTATCCTAATCTACGAGCCTAGTCAGAGCAGCATGTGTGAGTCTCGGCCTGGTTGGCCTGGTGAGAGCAGCATGTGAGAGTTTCAGCTGCAGAATAGCGAGAGAAGCACATGGGAGATGCCAGAACTAGGCCGGGCTGTTAGTCGGATGAGCATTTGTGATAGTTGGAAAGGCAAGCACTATGGCAGCACGGGCACTGGAGTCTCTTCTCATGACAAGGAGAAGAATATGTCGCAACATCCCATGCCAATGCGTGCCATCTCATGTTACTTCATGGCAGGTTGCTGATATCGAACTCGCTGGTTGGCACCATTCCTGCCTCCCTGGTCAACCTCAACCAAGTCACTACCCTGTGCGCCCAAGATTGCTCTTGTTTGATCTCAGAAATGCTGTCTCTGCCCTTCATTACGCATAAACAGAGAACAAGTATCCGGGTTGTAGGATAAGAGAGGCTAGGAGAACTCACAATCTACTATGCAGTGTGGACACGCCTTTGAAACAAGCATACAAGTTGAGGAACAGTCTATTCAACCCACTCCCATTGTTTTTCCTGTTCTGGCGAACCATTCAGGTCCTTGTCTAATAACTTCCTTGCTGGAACGATTCCTGCCGCATTCAGCACACTCACTCGTCTCAAGTTCCTGTAAGCACGCACCTTCCATCCATGGAGCTCCACAATCTCTTCTCACACGGCACCTTTCATCGAATTTCACTGACTGACTGGTAAGCACGCACCCACAAGCTCATGTTCTAGAGAGCAAGCACACACAATCTTGTGTACCTGTAAGCATGCACCAACTACCATGCGCGTGTTTGTAGTCAAACGCAATCCTCTCCTCACCACACCTGTATACCACCCTCGTGGAGTGCCAGGGAGACTCCAATGCTCCTTTGCCGTCTACTCCCGTGCTTCCATCCCGCCCGACGTAGCTCCTCAAGAAATATCTTCAACACGCTGTGCTGCACACCAAGTCGACCTCACCCATCTCTCCACCATACCCTTCCCTTGCCTCGCTGATGCCCTCCTTCGCCCCTCCGTATCTCTCCACATGCCTTCTGTGCGGGTTGGCACAGCGCTGTGGCCAACAACTTCCTGGTGGGGCAGCTGCCCTCTCTGAACCGCATGCCAGCGCTCAGGGCTGTGTCTGCACGAGACAACTATATTACATCTGTAGCAGAGGCACCTCCCGCATGCCCCACATACCAGCTGCTGCTGGACTGGAACTGCTTCGCCCACAACCTGACCGTCTGCGGCACCCAGCAAATCCAGAAAGAAGCTGATTGGTGCACGTGGTTCTATGGGAACGACCCACCTTGTGGCGGCCATGGGTTTCGCTCCTTGCTGCCTGGAAAATATGCTCCTACCTGCGCTTGCGATTACGGTTACACCAGTGAAACTCCTGAAACTTGCACCCCGCAAGGTAAGGCAAGGAGGCTGCCTTTTTTTTGCTCATCAGATGTGCCTTCTGTTTCTTCTTTACTGGTCTTGAAAGGATAAGATGGTCTCTGTTGCTAATCTCTAATACAGGGGCCATCCCACCCTAAACCTCATGCACCTTTTTCAAGAGTCCTTTGCACTCCTTTCGCTAACCATGCACCCATAAACACCCACGCCACTTCACTTCACCACAATCCGTCCTCCCCTTCTCATCTCTACCTGAGAAACCCTCTTATCTCCAGGTCCATACATCCCTTCTCACCTCACCTCTTACGAAGACCCGATGTTTTTTTTTCAGTCAGCCTTCTGTGCCCCCAACGGCTCTATCTTCCTCACCTCAACGCCATCCACTGCACCATGGGGGGCGGCCTTCACACCGCAACCCATCACCCTCTTCCTCTCCAACAACAAAAAACAGCCCTGCGACCAGCCCGTTGCCTTCTCCGTTTCGTTCACGTTTCGCATGACCCCTGCTGCTGCTACATCTGGTAGTGCTGCTGCAGGCGCAGGTAGCAGCACAGCAGGCGAGGGCCTGGCGTTTGTAGTCACTGCGGCGGCACCCCAGGGGGTTGCAACGGGGATGGGGCTGGGAGGGGTGGGGAAGCGGAGTGTGGCGGTGGAGTTTGACTCGGTGCTGAGTGTGAAGCACAGCGACCCCAACGACAACCACGTGGGCGTCAATGTGGGCGGCTCACCTGTGTCCCTCGCCTCTGCCACGGCCCCTCTCATCCTCAACGACGCCCACACCAAGCACGCCTGGATCCACTACGACCCCACCAGTGGCGGCACTTTCCGAGTCTTCCTCTCAGCCTCCAGGCAGCAGCCGTCCAAGGCTGTGGTGACGGCGAGAGTGTCTCTGTGCAGCGCGCTCAAGCCCACCATGGGAAATTCCTCATTCCTCTTCGGCTTTATGGCAGCCTCTACAAACTATACTCAGAGGCATGATATTCTCTCATGGAAGATCATCACGGGTAAGTGCTTCGGACATATGCGTCACCAGACATATGTGTCATCAGACATATGCGTCACCAGACATATGTGTCATCAGACATATGCGTCACCAGACATATGTGTCATCAGACATATGCGTCACCTGACATTTGTGTCATCAGACATATGCGTCACCAGACATATGTGTCATCAGATGTGTGTGTGTGTGTGTGTATGTGTGTGTGTGTGTGTGGGTGTGTGTGGGTGTGTGTGTGTGTGTGTGTGTGCATGCGTACGTGTATGTGTGCGTGTGTGTGTGTGTATGTGTGTGAGCGCGTGCGTGCGTGTGCTTATGCATGTGTGCAGGCATACCTCCTGTCGTGGACTGGAAAAATGGAGTCCCTGGTAAGCATAATCAACCAGCACTCTTTCTCGCATTTTCAAAATCCTTATATCTTAGACTTGCCTTTGCTGTCTCAGAAGTTACTTGCCTTAGCTGTCTCAAAAGCTCCTCCAGTCTTCTGTGCAATCTACCACCATAACCCATCAGGCAAAGCATTTGGGCAGGTGTCATCATCAGAGGAGGTGGCAGGAGCCAGTGAGAGCAAGAACGTGCCCTCCACCTTCCATTATGCCAGCCTCGCCTTTCAAGCGGACAGCCCAGCTACGGAGCCGTATTGGAACCTTCCACCTTTCGTTTCTTGGATGCGGAATGAGGCAACGTGGCCTGTGAAGAACCAGCATGGATGTGGTATGGCATGGATGGGGCGTGGATTGATGGGTTATGGCATTGGGGCATAGGTGGTATGGAGACCTCACCATGGGCCAAGATAAGAACATGGTCACTTGTGATTGCACTGGCATGTGACCAACCATCCAGCACACGTATGAGCCCTCCTCGTGAACATCCCATTTCGCCCCTCCTTAATGCACCTCCTCACATGCCCCTCCTTGCACGTCGCTCCTTGCAGCCGACTCCTCGGCACACGCAGTGGTGGCGGCGGTGGAGGCAGCCTACAGCATTGCGAGCAATGGGTCGCAGCCCCCCAGGCTGTCGGTGGAGCAGCTGCGGCTGGCCCTCTCCTCCAACTGCGACGACATGCCTCCGCGCGATGTGCTGGCCTTCCTGGTGGCTGCCACGCGCAAGGGAGGGGGGCTCGTGGATGACGCAGCAGCGGCAGCCGCCGCCAGTCCACACAGCATGGCGTCTGCCGGCCGGCGGGAGAGACTGGCCGCGGTGAGTTGCAGCGACTGGTGGATACTCACGGTCTCTTGTGCTCGTGGGGATGGTTGCTGGCATGGGATGGGAAGTTGGGTGCTGCAAGCCAAAGAAGAAGAATGAAACTAGGGCAGAGCATTTGATCTGGGCATTGCCTGCTCAACTAGTGACTGGATGCACTGGGGAACATCCCTCCTTTACTTCTGCTCTTTCTTGTGGACTCCCCAACTTCATCATCCTTCCTTCCTGTCTTTCAGAAAATCAAGTACTACGGAATTCAAGGCTTTGAGGAGACCTCGTTTGATGGATGGCTTGGTCTGCTGTTGGCAGTGCAGCGGCAGCCTGTGGTTGTGCGAATAGAGGCTTCCGCACAATCGTTCTCTGAGTATGACGGGGTGAGATGCCGTGTTGTCAAGGGGGGAGACGCCATGAACTACCGACAGAGTCAATGGGTGCAATGTAGAGAAGTAGTTAAAAGCGCATAAGAAGTTTGTCTTGACAGAATAGTCAGCTTTAGGAATTGACTTGAAATGCCTCATTAAAAACTCCTCCACATCCCCCCCTGCACCCCCCAGACATACAAGTATGCGGATGCTGGCTGTTTTCAGGAAGGGGTGAACCACGCAGTGCTGCTGGTGGGCTATGCTTTGCAAGGCAGCACAGACAGCCCTTTCAGCCTCGATGGCCCACTCTGGGTAGTCCGCAACTCATGGGGCACCGGATGGGGGGACGTAGGGCACATGTGCATGGACATGCAGAGCGGGCCGGGCGTCTGTGGCATCAACACACTGCCGGGCATCTTACCCATCCTCCGATGTACGCTCAGAGCAGTGGGTTCATGGATTGTCAGGTGTGCTCATGTTTCTACCATATGTGTTCCTACTAGAACCATGCATGTCTCTTGTGCCAATCCTGTTGGTGTTGGTGTCGTGGGTTCTGCTACCTTCGCCATGCATGTTGCTGGTTCCATCATGCCACTGGTGTCACGTGTCTAACTATAATGCATCACAAGCTCTAGCTAAGCAGTGTCTCTCATATGGTGCGTGGTGCATGCGTGGTGTGTGCATGGCAGCTACTGCTGACCCGTGTGGCAGAAGGTCAGTGATGCTGGTGGGCTCACCGGGAGTGGCAGGGAGCAACGCGTTCAACCCGTGTGGGCAGTTCAAGTGCTCCAAGGCCGGAGCATCCAACCGCTGTGCCTGTGCTGCTCCCCACTTCGTCCAGACCTCCCACCCCGACAGCTCCAACACCTGCGCCTATGGTGAGTTGCTTTTGTGTTGATTCAAAAGCACCTGATGAGCCCATCCCACCCTCAGTCTCCATTGCACTGCATTGCACCCTTCTGCTTGATCATTCCCAGTTGTTGCTCACTTCATCACCTCCTTCTCCCTCTCCGCCCTGCCTGCACTGCCAGTGGACGCCTGCGGGCTGGCAGGCAGCAACCCGTGTGTGGTGGGCACGTGCGTGAACGATGGCAAGGGCAGCTACTCCTGTGTATGTCCCCCGGGATTCGTTCAAGGCACCACCGCCAAGGGAACCCTCTCCTGTGCTCCTGGTATACCTTTCCTGCCAATTTACCCCTCCCTGCCCATTCGCTCCTCATCGTCCCTCTGCTGCTCGTTGCCCCTCTGCTGCTCTTGACCCCTGTTCTTTCTTGCCGTTCGTCTTCAGGACATTGAATATAGACACTGCGTTCTTGTATGCCTGATGATACATAGAGAATGTTTGCTTCTGTAACTTTGCTTCGTAAGCCATAAGGCAGATGTGTAAACTAATTGTACGTCGTGCTCATGTTCATGCTTTGCGCTGCATGCAGGCGACAGCAAGGGCAGCTACACGGTGCTTGGCAGCAATGTGTGGTGCTCTCAAGTGCTGCCTGTGTTCGGTCTCACTATTGACCAACTCAAGCAGCAGAACAAGGTCAGCACTTGTCCTCTTACTCTACCACCACATTACGACACACCATATCTCACATCAAGCCTTCAACCACCCTTCCACACCTCATGCGCGCAGAAGCTATCGTGTGCAAAGCCCATTCCAGTGGGATCGAAGCTGACTGTCAAGACGACCCAATCTTTTCCAAAATGCTCGCTTTTCTACACCATCCAGCCTGTGAGTACAGCCATGCCACAAGGCACCTATTGCCTCGTTGTGCTAGGCATTGCGTGTAGAGAACCTTCTTCCGTTTTTGCACACCAAAAGCAGAACTGGCAAACATGTTCGACTCCATCAACTAATTTGTCCGTGATGTGTGCAGGGGGAAAGCTGTGTGACAGTCGCTCAGCAGTTCAATCTGAGCGACAGGTGTCCCGGGGATGGAAATCAGGCATGTGTGGATGCGTTGGCAGAGCTCAACCCTGTGCTCAATTGCTCAGAGTGTCAGAATGAACAAGAGTGATTGAACTAACAACATTGGGAGTACAAGTAGGAAACCCTAGAATGTTGTACCCCCTAAGGCTAAACCCACTATAGCCTACAGAATATGAACATATAAAATGTTCGACACACCCCCATAGGCTAAGTGGGAGACAACCAGATGGGCACAAGACCAGTCAAAGCAAAGCAAAGCAAAACAAGCTCAGGGTGGATCTCAAGGATACCACACAAATTCCGAGCACAAGCAAGCGGTCACAAGACCAGTTCACATGCAGTTTGATAATAAAACAAGAGGTACAGTGATCACAACCTAGCAAGTGTAAGCATGCAGGTATATATATAGAGATCACAGTACAAGCAGAGTCAAGAAGTAAGCAAGTGAGGCACAGTAGGCACAAGGCCTAGAACAGTACAGACACGCTGATGATCACAAGGCTGAAGCGCCTTGGTGAACACATCAGCAGTGTTGGCCCGAGTGGCCACGTAAGCAAGACGAAGCTGACCACGCTGCTGCAACTCTCGAGCAAGGAAGTAGCACAGAGCGATGTGCTTCGTTCTGTGCTCCAGTCTGTGCTCCTGACACAAGGCAATCATGGCCTTGTTGTCGACGTACAGATTTGGAGGAGAACGAGGCGGCTCTCCAAGGCCAGTCAGCAGGTAGGTGAGCCAGCGTAACTCCTGTGCAGCCATGGCCCCTGCGTAGATTCAGCCTCACAACTAGAGCTGAGAACAGAAGACGAGCGGGTAGACCGCCAAGAAACAGAGCCGGAGCCAAGACTGAAGGTGTAACCCTGTGACGACCGCTGCGTAGTCAAGTCGTCAGCCCAAGAAGCGTCACTGTGACCAGTGAGGACAACTCGAGCCCGTCCTCCAAGCACAAGCCCCATGCCCGACGTACTGCACAAGTAGCGCAACACCCTCTTAGCGGCATCCATGTGCTCCTTCCGGTGACGGCCAGGAGCGACATAGCGTGCCAGGATGCTAAGAGGGTATGCAAGGTCAGGTCGAGTGCAGGTCATCAGGTACATGAGGCAGCCCACAAGCTCTGGGTACGGGCCACTCGGCTCTACGGACTCGTCCGAAGGTGGAGCTGAGAGCGAGTGACCGGTAGGCAGAGGAGTGGACTGAGGCGAGGAGTACGTGAAGCGGAAGCGCTGAAGGACCTGTTGCACCATGTGTGGAGGAGTCAGGGTAATGGTGCGCTGTGCTCTGTCCCGGGTGATCCGCAAGCCAAGATAGCTTGTCAGTTCACCCAGGTCTGTGCACGTGTGTCTCTTCTGCAGCTCCGACTTCACGTGGGCGAGTGCCTCAGTGTCAGCAGTAGCAAAGACCAAGTCGTCTACGTACACGAGAACGTAGAACGGCGGCAGAGTGGTGTCGGTGCGTAGAAACAGCGACAGGTCAGCAGTGGAAGGAGCAAACCCAAGACAGCAAGAGTAGTCCTCAGTGTGTCGTGCCACTCACGGGGTGCCTGGCGGAGACCGTAGACTGGCCGCCGGAGGCTCCACTGGGTACCAGCAGGAAACGACCCAGTGAAGCCAGGTGGGCGGCGCAGCCAGATCTCCTCGTGCAGGCTGCCCTGTAGAAAAGCAGTGCTGAAGTCAAGAGACTGGAGCTCGTAGTCACGCTGAGCAGCGACGTGCAGCAGAACCCGAAGAGTGGTCATCTTCGGGGTAGGGGAGAAGGTCTGGAAGAAGTCAACTCCCTCACGCTGACTGAAGGCTCGTGCAACGTAACGCGCCTTGAAGACAGGCGGAGAACCCGGCGGCCGCTTCACCCTGAAAATCCACATGCCACTGACGATGTTCGCCCCAGGCGGGGGAACCTCGTCGACGTAGGTGCCTGTGGACTTCCAGGAAGCCATCTCTGCGTCCATAGCTGACTGCCACTGAGAGGAGTAGGGACCCTCTATCGCCTCTGCGTAAGAGCGCGGGGCCGGGATGTCTGGTGCATCCGGGTCTCCCTCAGGGGCAATCAGCATGGACACGAGATGAGGTAAAGCAGCAGCAAAGCACTCAAACTCCTCCTGTCTGTCCTCAAGGACGTCCGTGCCAAGGACACACTCACCCCCGATGGACGGAGGACAGACAGACTCAGACTCAGCAACAAGGCTAGCGGCGTAGTCTAGACGACAGGCGGCAGCAATATCAACAAGCTCAGCGACTAGAGCAGACGCAGCAGTGGACTCAAAGGTAGGGTCAGTGACAACAGTGGCGAGGAAACGCGTGACAGTAGGACTGGCAGCACCAAGAGAGTCAGACTCCGGGTCAACAAGAGCAGGAAGAGAGGACGCTGGAGGAGACGGCAGAGGGACACGCTGTGGAGCAGTGGAAGGACGCAGAGTCATATAGTGAGTGCCAGGGACAGGAGGAGGACGCTCACGCGGAACACGACGACCAGTGCGGGCAGCATGGACAGGCGACTCTGGACGAGACTCAGGCGACGTAGGACGAGACTCGGGCGACGCAGGACGAGACGCAGGCTCACGACGCTCCGTAAGACCTCCAGTCGGCCCAGCGTAAGGAGAAGGACTGGGCAGCGGAGAGGCAGGCTGTAACTGTGACTGCGACTGGACAGGCGGTGGACTCAGTAGGGGAGGAGTAGGGCCAGTAGGGGGCGGGAGGCCAAGAACCTGCTGAAGGAGCGGAACGTAGTACGGCCGCGGCCGCGCAGCTCCTCCTGAGCCAGCAGAGACAGCACCAGCTCCCTCAGCTCCAGGGTCTCCAGCTACAACTCCCGCAGCACCACCAGCAGATCCAGCAGCTCCAGAACCTCCAGCAGCTCCAGCACCAGCAGCACCTCCAGCAGCTCCAGCACCAGCAGCACCTCCAGAAGCACCAGCAGCACCTCCAGCAGCTCCAGCACCAGCAGCACCTCCAGCAGCACCACCAGCAGCTCCAGAACCTCCAGCAGCTCCAGCTCTAGCAGCACCTCCAGAAGCACCAGCAGCACCTCCAGCAGCTCCAGCACCAGCAGAACCTCCAGTACCTCCAGCAGCACCAGCAGAACCAGCAGCACCTCCAGCACCTCCAGCAGCACCTCCAGTAGCTCCAGCACCAGCAGCTCCAGAACCTCCAGCAGCTCTAGCACCAGCAGCACCTCCAGCAGCTCCAGCACCAGCAGCACCACCAGTAGCTCCAGCACCTCCAGCAGCACCTCCAGTAGCTCCAGCTCCAGCTCCAGCACCAGTACCTCCAGCAGTACCACCAACAGCTCCTGCACCAGCAGCACCAGCTCCAGGGTCCTCAGCACCAGCAGCACCACTCCGGAGACTGCAGCGCCGAGCGTACCACTCTCGGAGCCGCTGAGGAGAGGGCGGCTCCCGCCTAGGCGGGGAACCACGAGCACCAGCTGCAGCAGCACCCCTAGCCCCAGAAGCGCCCTTCCCGAGGCTGCAGTACCGCGAGTACCACTCACGCAGCTGCTGTGAAGAGGGAGCGCCTCCAGGCGCCTAACGGTCAGTCGCAGCACCCCCAGGCTCAGTACCCTCAGACTCAGCACTCTCAGGCTCAGCACCCCCAGACTCAGCACCCTCAGGCTCAGCACCCCCAGGCTCCGCACCCGCAGACTCAGCACCCCCAGGCTCCGCACGCTCAGGCTCAGCACCCCCAGGCTCCGCACCCCCAGGCTCCGCACGCTCAGGCTCAGCACCCCTAGCAGGACGAGAGTCGACAGCTACCTCGACAGGCTCAACCGGGTCTACCTGGGACACACCTGAGGGAGCGGCACCCTGAGGGGGGAGGGGGTCTACCACAGCAGCACGTGGTGCGAGGAAGGGAGGCGGGGGGGGGAGCGGGGCACTGCGGTAGGGGAAGAGGCGGTAGTAGGGGACCGACTCGTCGAAAGTGACGTCCTGAGAGGGCAGGACACGGTGCGAGGTGGCGTGGTAAAAATGCCAACCAGACGCGTCCGGGACAAAGCCAAGGAAGACACAAGGAACAGCGCGGGAGGAGAGCTTGTCCGCCGACGTATCGCGCACAAAAGCATGAGATCCCCAGACCTGGAACACCGACGCATCGCCAACCTCTCCCATCCAACGCAGTGTCGGCGAAGTCTCCGGAACGGAGACACGGGGCCAGAGGTTGAGCTGATGCGCAGCGTATCGGACCGCAAACGGCCACAGAAAGTGGGGGGCAGCCGCAGGGATCAAAAAGGTACGAGCGACCTCCATGACCAAGCCAATGCGGCGCTCAGCAACCCCATTCTGTTGTGGAGAGGCCGGAAGCGTGAACGACTGCTCAATCCCCTCCCCCTGACAGAAGGCC